CATGTAAACCAATTATGTCTGCACGAGAAAGGAATATTCTCATATATTTTATTCCGTTTCGCCGACTTTTCTCGCCTTGGTTTCAAGAGGGGTGCATCAAATTTTCAAACTATGTAAACAAAGTAATCTACCTCAGATCATGCAACATTCTCTCAGTTGGATCTCTCTTTGCATTGCATCGGAATTCAGCCAAGTTTAAACTTGTGTATTTTGTAACGATTATTGTCTGTGTAAAGATAAATCAAGTATTTGTTCTACAGTTTATAGGACTTTTTACATGGTATTCTTTCTAAACACCGATGAAATATTTGTTCAAAATTGTCACTATCATACCACGTTAAACGATAGTTTGACTGATGTTTGATTAGAGGTACATTTCTTTGTAATGCATTACACTGACGACGGTTGTCCCACATCATGTCTTTTATTTGCTGTTTGGTTGCCTTGTACGGAGTTACTAAATAATTAACTACAAACTAAACATTTGTGTGTTGTTCTTTCTGGTGAAGAGCATCTCCTCGTGTGTGGACATTTCCGTGTTGTGACCTTCACCTTCACCCATAAAGAGTGTTTCCGGTAGAGCAGTGGGCATCATTTTCCTTGTTTGTTGTTTAATACCGCAGGCATAAATCTTCCACCTGTTCTCAAATTGTGAAGAACTGAGTTTCCACCAGACAAGACAGTGATTGCCATGCATGGTGATCATCGATAGAGGCAGTGGATCCCATGATATATGTGGTACAGTATCAGATAGGTCATCTAGCCTCTATACCTACCCAGCCTCCATGATATATGTGGTACAGTATCAGATAGGTCATCTAGCCTCTATACCTACCCAGCCTCCATGATATATGTGGTACAGTATCAGATAGGTCATCTAGCCTCTATACCTACCCAACCCCCATGGTATATGTGGTACAGTATCAGATAGGTCATCTAGTCTCTATACCTACACAACCTCCATGGTATATGTGGTACAGTATCAGATAGGTCATCTAGCCTCTATACCTACACAACCTCATTCATGGCCACCTGTCACAAGAAAGGAGGGAAGAAGAAGCCTTCTTACCTTAAACGGAAGCATCAGTGTTACTGTTAATTAGTAAGTGTGACATTCCAAAGTGTGCTGCGTCATTGTGATAAATGAGTAGATGTGAACCATCGTACATTTGTAAAGATGTTCAAAGACCAGGGTTAAAACTGGTCTTCAGCAACTCATGTTTGTCGTAAGCGGAAGTTGACGGGTTTGCGTGGTCAGGAACACATATTGATTGATTCATGTCATCGTAACCCAATTGCACAGTCGATGCACATGATGTTGATCACTCGATTATCTAGTCAAGACACGAATATTTACATACCGCCGTCATGTACTGAGATACTGCTGAGTGCGACGCTAGACAACAAACAAAGATGATCCAACGATTAATCCGAAGCTGCTACCAGTTGTTAAAGCCACAGTTGATGGCAACATCCATGAAAGAAACTTTCCAACTTTTAGGGAACATATATGCTGAAATATTAAATGGCAAGTTGCTAATTGTTTATAGACGTAACATCGTTCAAAGCGGTGTAAAGTTTTACCCATTTCTGACCGACATCAATTGAACAGAGTAATTGTGAACGTATAACCAGCTGAACACGTAGCTTACTACAGTACAGGAAAGAGACGCCTGTACGTTGTTTAACGAGTGTCCAGCAAGTGAAAGACTATAAATAAATTGTATGAATTTAACTTGACTTCCGCCCGGCTGTCACAACTGAACGTGTCCATGTCAAAGGGCAGCACGCATGCGCAGTCATACACAAAGATATACACCAGTATACCCTTTGTGATCTTTTCACTGCTGGAATATTAAGCCGAAATGATGGAATTTTCAGTGAAAACCTTTCACTTCAAGAAATCTAATCCCAATGAAGTCAGAAGGACAATAATGACAACCAGAATATGGTGACATTAAGTAAGATGGCGGAATTTCAATCAAACAGCTTTCACTTCTAGACATCTTATCCCGATGAAGTCAAAGGACTATCATTTCATAAAATCCAAAATATGGTGGCATTACTGTTCTGGAGTGGAAATGATTATTGCAGTGAAACTAAGCAGGATTAACAGATGGGTTTATGGGAATTCCATATGGGTATCATTTGTAAATTCGTAGTTAATGCCTACATTTACCTGGCTGGAGAAGCGTATATTGCACAACAGGTTATTCTTAAGATTAATTATAACATTTGGAAGGAAGTTTTGTTATAAAGGTCAATGCACCTGATGTATTGAGATGATGGTTTACCTTCTGATGAAGATACGGCGAGCAAGTCTGTCTGGTATAATAATGAAATCAAAATTGATGATTAGTATATGTATTTTCCAATAATGACATTGAAAAGGTACAGCATTCGTACATGATATCATTTATGATGCGGAGAAACATAATCGCGACATTTACATATGAACATAACTACTTCATCTCTTAGTCGCGTTAAATATTTGAACTGGAGAATGAAATATAAGAAAATAGCATTTCAAGCCGATGGGATGGGATCGAGTCGGGGAGAGGGAGAATGAGGGACTGACTTTATGCTAACAAGGTCATGTGCAGTTACTAATACAAGACCAAGTGTATTACAATTTGTAGGGCAATCAACCAGGAAAGTCAGTGCTATAAATAGACTGCCTTTGTGAAAAATTGAAAGCAATGCAATAGCTCCGAGATATGTTATCTCAACACACGAAAGACCTTTCTACATGTATGAAGTGAGAATGCGCGCAGAGAACGTGACACCAGGTCACTATGAGTGGGGAGCAGGCTTAAATTATTCCCCGAGAAACCCTCACCCTCGCGGACTTGGCTCACGTGTGTCAACGCAGGGGAAACAGCTATTTCAGTCTTTCTTCACGACGTCTACGACCAGTACACATTAATCAAATGGCCGCAGATCAAGTTGTCAAAAGACTTAAGTTTATGTTCTATAGTGTTTGGTCATTGTTTAACGTCACGCTCCGAAATAGGTAAACTGTCGAATATGGACCTGATAATCCAGTGATCATTAGTATCGACCTTCGCAACCAGGATACGATGACATGTGTCAACCAAGTCAGCCTGACCGTCCGATCCTGTTAGTCGCTTCTTACGACAAGCATGGGCTGCTGAAGATCAGTTCTAACCTGGATCTTCATTGGTACATGTTATTTCTCACAGAATGAAGACCCTCAGAACCTCACGGTGTACAGATATTTGACGAACATTCACACTCATGATCAGCTGGATATCCTGTAAGACTTTGAAAACAGATCTCACAGATCAATAAGAAGTGAGTGAGTGAGTGAGTTTTACGCCACACTCAGCAATATTCCAACTATATGGCCGTGGTCTGTAAATAATCGAGTCTGGACCAGACAATGCAGTGATCAACAGCATCGGCATCAATCTATGCAATTGAGTACCAATGACATGTGTCCACCAAGCCAACGAGCCTGACCACCAGATCCCGTTAGTCGCCCCTTACGACAAGCATTGGTTACTGAAGATCAATTCTAACCTGGATCTTCACGGGTCAGATCAGTAAAGAAGAATTAAGCCACAATACATTATAGAAACACTTCAGATATAAGGATGAGTCAGGTAAAGACTTACCCAAGAGTACCTGAAGTATTAAGGTGGAGGTCGAATAAGGCTGATCCGTATCAAATATATCTTTTAAACAGATTATCAAGAAACATGGACAGAAGATATATTTATTATATAAAGACGATACTAACGAGATGGAATTCCAGTCTATCAGGTGCACGATCAGGGAGATGGTTCGGTTCAAAGTAGGTTTTATGAAAATACGATCACATCATCGGACAGTACGATTCCGACCGAAGGTAGTGGAATATTACTGTCGCCTGAGGAATATATGCTAATCTTCTTTTAGAAATTACTGAGATTAAAAGCTTGTGAGATCCCCTTAAACCAGCAAAATACAACACAATCACGTCTATTATATTCAATTATATAGGGAATATATATAGCTACAAAGAATGTCAGTACCGATTTCCAATACAATACTATTGGAAAATCAAGATTTATGGATGTCGACTTCTTTATTGTGAATAACAATACAAGTATACAAGAAGAACAATACAACAATTGTGAAATTGACATCCCAAAACTCACCAAAGTCTTGATATTACCACTAAATACAGATGTATTGATTGAAGACAGCTGTTGAAAGTTCATTGTAGACGAAGCCTCTTGAGTGGTAGGTCTTGAAACGTCGATGTTAGCATGCAGATGGGTGTAAATCCAAAGTCATCCCCCATACATCAACAACCATCCCTTATATACCTATTATACAGTTCTGTTTCTTTTCTAGCAAAAGCCATGCCACGCTACGATCTTCTCACTGCTTCCACAATCCGACCGGAAGCAAACCAAACAAAGGGAGGCAACTCATCAGCCCACTCTCAACAGGTGACATTACATAGCCCAAGTTCAAGACGAAAGTTCAAATCCACATTCAGCATCTCAAATATTTGTGACCCATGTTAACTAAAAGTTAATTATGAGACATTGTAATTAACAAATCACATCCTCATAACGAAATACATATTCCAACTGAATAGCCTACTTGTATATATCAATGTGAATGTTCAAAGCAAATAGCTGCACTATATATCCAAATAAATGTTCAAACTAAATGACACATTTCATATCAAAATACATGTTCAAAGCAAATGGCTTTATTACATATCAAACTAATATTTAATCTGCATGACTACATCGCATATCAAAGTAAATGTTCAAACTAAATGGCTATATTACAGATCAAACTAATATCCAAACTAATATATATATATATATATATATCACATAGATAAATAAAAACAGAATGCCTTTTTCCCCAATATGTTTCGTTCTTTACTCTTCAGGGAGATTGTAGCAGTTACAGTATGACGTCATTACATATATATTGTGACGTCGCAATATGTATTTCATACATATATATATATATATATATACAATGTGACCCCGTACAAATGTAATGTGTCATACACTGGGGTGGCACATGAGCTTTTACACAATATGAACCCCAATACATGCTACGTCTGTATACGGGGATGGCTTATTGTGCCTCTCAAGCATGTAGCGTCTCATACACAGGGGGCTGCACATTGTCCATCTTCTCGTACACGTGATCCGGATGGGTCACACTGGTTATGTCATCTCCTGCATCTCCCGTGTCATCCTGGTAGGTGGGGTTTCTCACGGCACCAGCAGTAACGCCTATCTTCTTTTGCTTGTTCGTCACGACCATTCTGTAAACAAGTTGTTAAAATATTAACTCGTATTCGTTGCTGACAGGCAAGCAAATATTCGATTGATGAACATAATTCAATTCAATGCCAAAACTGTATTACATCCTGATTTTATAGCTCCTAATTTGATAACTTTATGTTATATATAAAAAGTGAATTTTAACTAAATGAGTGAGTGAGTGAGTTGGCTTTTACGCCGCTTTTAGCAATATTCGAGCAATATCACGACGGGTTTTAACTGAATGAAATACTTGACTCTTCCTTCTTGTGGGTCCCTACATTTTAACCTTAATGAAAGAATATTGGTTTCTATGGTTACCTTCTACATCTGACCAGGAGGATCACGAGAACCACCACAACCAATCCCAGAAAGACACAAACAGACACCAGCGCCCAGACAACAAGGTTCCAATCTGCAGTACAAATGACAGGTAGACATATTAACAACCACAAAACCAGGAGATGGTGTGGTCGTGTGCATACAGCCAAGGTCACAAATCAGTTGAAGTTAAACAACGTTGGTCACATAGAGTCAGTGTTGACGGTGTTCGGCAGCTTGACTCCTGAGAGTTTCTATGACTTCCGTCCTGACCCCAAACAAAGCATTCGTGACACACGTGGTCTGACACACGTGAATGGGTACCCGGCGGGATAAGTCAGATGACTGTCAAGCTTATAGCTCCTCACAGGCAGCGTGAATAAAGGCCATCATTGTCCTTATCATTATTCCAAGACAACACCGATGAGAGCTTCCCCACAGTGGTGGACATCACTGACCAGGGTACTGTTCAAAGCAGTATAGTCAGTTTGCAGTAAAAAAACTACCGATGAATTTTACTTTAAACCAAAAAGTACAATCGGATATAGAGAAATTAAGATTGCGAATCCTCATAATTTTACCTTTCCAATTGAACATGGAAAATCTCAGAATGTTATTCAACTTGCGATAAAAGTTGTTTGTCAAACGGTCATAGTTTCAAATCGCTATTATTGGTTTGTATTACAAGGGGGTATGCACATTAAATGAAAAACCGAGAACAAGTAAGGTTGGTCTAAGTTAACGCTCATAACGTACCGCACGTGCATTTGTTTCACTGTTCCAACTAATTCGCTTCCCCCTTTGTAATACAAACCAATAATAGCAATTTGACACCAAAGTTTTATCCTTAGTTGAATAAGATTCTGCTACGCGCCTGCCAGGTACATAGAACCCAGCAACGCTGACGGAGCCGTGTAATAAAAACCTCTTCGTGATAACTAGCTTCATTGTTTATACCTTCATGATATAATTCTTGTACCAAGTTTCCGGCTTGACACGTGCCGTTAGCGGGATGACAGGGGGCGCCGCCAACACATTGGTCACACAGATTCCCGCAGCGCTCGCCGTAGGTACCATTTGGACATGCTTTCAAAAAATACGCCATGTGTAAAAATCTCTCTGACGAATTGATTAGCCATCGTTCAAATCTGATAATCAAAACACTAAATTCATATTCATATCGTCTAGGTACTAAAAGCGATAGAGTCATATCAGATCTAGTGGACAGGTGAGCACCAGGAAGGTACAAAAACTGAAATACCTCCACCTACATTCAGACCATTTAAGACAACATCCCGTGCACCCAACTTAAACCTAATGCTGATGGCCCGATCATTCATTGCGGTAAAGCATGACCATGTCTCAGTCATTTAAAGACGCTCACCACCTTTGCCTGAATTATTTATCAGGTAATTTGAACGTCAGACTAGGATGTTATCTTTGTTCAAGATAAGAAAGCAACTCAACAAAAACTATTGTCGTAAATCTTTAGCTAAACATAGAACACCGTCGCAACTCTGTAGTTGAACAAACATCACTGTCGTAATTCTGTAGCTTGATATTGTTCACTGTGTTCAGTCTATAGTTTAGTACAGATCAGTGTCGTAACTCTATAGTGTAACTCAGACGACATTCATGACGTACTTCTTTCGGATAGATGTCTGTTGTGTCCTTTTAGTTTAACAGATGATGCTGTCGTAATTCTGTACTTTAACACAGACTTATATCGTTACTCTATAGTTTAACACAAATTGTGCAGTTGTGATTTGAGGACCGTACACATCGTACATTGCAACCAACACCCATGTTCAAGTGGACGCTAACTCGAACAGCTCGAGCGAATGCTAATAACACAGCGTTTTCACAGTGCCTTTGCCCGAGCGCCTCTGAACGATTTGTTGGAATTAAGTTTATTATAATCAGTACTATTATCTATTATAACTCCTTCATACACACCAGTAGTGCACGTGTCGCCAATCCAGCCAGTGTCACACCCATCTGCACAATGGCCATCGATGTTGTCACAAGCACTTCCATTGAAGCATTTCCCACATTCCCGGGTGCACAGCCGACCATACCACCCAGAGGGACAACCTGTTGAACGATACACAGATACAGCACGTTAACACTGTGTGACAGAGATACACAGCCGACCATACCATCCAGAGGGACAGCCTGTTGAACGATAAAACAGATACAGCACGTTAACACTGTGTGACAGAGATGCACAGCCGACCATACCAGCCAGAGGGACAGCCTGCTGAATGATACACAGATATAGCACGTTCACACTGTGTGACAGAGATACACATCCGACCATACCATCCAGAGGGACAGCCTGTTGAACGATACACAGATACAGCACGTTAACACTGTGTGACAGAGATGCACATCCGACCATATCACCCAGAGGGACAACCTGTTGAACGATACACAGATACAGCACGTTAACACTTCGTGACAGAGATACACATCCGACCATACCATCCAGAGGGACAGCCTGATGAACGATACACAGATACAGCACGTTAACACTGTGTGACAGAGATACACAGACGATCAACCATCCAGAGGGACAACCTGTTGAACGATACACAGATACAGCACGTTAACACTGTGTGACAGAGATACACAGCCGACCATATCACCCAGAGGGACAGCCTGTTGAACGATACACAGATACAGCACGTTAACACTGTGTGACAGAGATACACAGCCAACCTTACCATCCAGAGGGACAGCCTGTTGAACGATACACATATACAGCACGTTAACACTGTGTGACAGAGATACACAGACGATCAACCATCCAGAGGGACAACCTGTTGAACATACACATATACAGTACGTTAACACTGTGTGACAGAGATACACGTCTTGATCTACAGTAAATCCACAATCAATGTTTCAGTTGTCAACGTATGCCCACAGCAGATCAAAAGATATGTACTAATGTCTTAATAATGTACTAATGTACAATATACGCTTAACTTGAGTCTACCTAATATATCATTACCATATATCCTGAAGACAGTAGCACGTATGCCTCCATGAATTGATGTGTTAAAGTACACATAAGAGCGTGGCCCACAGCCTCCAGGAAGTACATCCACTGTCCCCCTGTAAGGAAATTCAATAGTCAGTTCATGGCAATATTTTGTCTTGTAGACGAAAGGTAAGTTTCAACATCGTTCTGAACGTGTACATATTTATAATGCAATTGGTATTCCGTTAATGAATGATAATTTATTTTTTCTTCAGTGACGCAAAACAGCTGATTTATTGGCAGTAAAGAGTGTTCATGTTTATTGTTGTGACTGAAAATTATATACCGTAATTGTTTAATGGCAAGCGCGCACACTCACACCCACAAACATGCATACGCATTTCAATACTGTGTCTGAATACAACGTAATGGATATTACATATGAGGCTCCATGTAACATTTACCTGTCTCCAAAAGGCCCAGCATACAGTACACCTTCGAACTCATGAACAGACAGATATAAAGTGTCGTTACGGTACACAGTGGTAACGTTCGTCTCCAAGTCCAGGGATCCCAAAGTGAGCACTGAAGAATCAGCGTAGTACAGTCTGTGACCTGCGACAGAAGACGCCGTGTTCGTATCTGAGACAGCTGCCATACTTGACTTGATAAATAGCAATAAACCTAAATCACTTGTCCAGTATTATTCTAGCTAAATAAGGACCATCAAGTCTTTCGTCAGAAAAACGACATCTTTGGAAGCCTGGGAGGCGTTTTGTATACTGGCCACATAAAGAAACTGTGCACACAGAAAATATAAAGATAGACAGACAGTGTCTTAAACATAAAGAAAGGTGTGAACATAGCAAGTATTGGAGACATTCAAACGCGCATGCAGGTGCCAGGCGACGTGACGTCATTGATGGTGGCCTATGGACTTGCAATGTGTTACTGCACATGCAGCCTGTGCAGCTGCACACAACATGTGAAACTCAGAAATTGCTGTCACTGTCGAAAGCTTGATCTTTGGTCATTCAAGCGTTCACAAATTCACATGAGAATTCAAATGCACATCATGCCAAAATTAACATCTGCTCAACGTCACGAAACCATTGGAATGGTTCGAGCAGGCATGAGCCAACAACAGGTGGCAGCATATTTCCAATGCCATCATAACACGATATCTGCATTGGTCAGTTGTTATGGAAACAGTAATGATGTCGCCGACCACCCACGTTTTGGGCGTCCCCGAGTAACGACGCCAAGACAGGACAGATGGATTCGGGTGATAATCTCAGACACAGGTTCCAGACGGCAGTGACCACGTCCCAAACCATTCCCCAGGCCTTCAATGATCATTTGGTAGCCTCTGTGCAGCGTCGATGCACTGCTGTGCATCAAGCGCATGATGGTCATACCCGTTATTGACTTTGTGACTTCGTCGTGTGACCCCCTACTCAACTTTGAACTTCTGACGTCATCGTTACGGATATTGTTCATGTTCTTTTGACATGTTGTTGTGGCCCGATACTTCGGCTTATAAAGTGTCTACATCATTTCGTCTTTTCTGTTTTGTATTCCAATTCTGAAGGAAGTTTCTGTGTGCACAGTTTCTTTATGTGGCTAGTATATTTCTGGGTCTTGCACTGAGGATTGGGCCTTTTAAAACAAACCTTATGGTAGTAATGGATAGATCGAGTCCAAAACACGGTTATCTGTAGCTACCCATTCTCTGCTTTGTAAATCCATCTGTATATTATTTTAGATAATATCTTTAAAAGGAAAAATGAACCCAACAAAACATCGAAAAGGTTACCAGCTCGAGTTATTATTATTTTTTATTTTGGTAAAAAACAAGAGTGACAAATCAGCTTCTTTGACGGAGTGATTTCCTAGAGATATTTAAGATTTATTCTAAAAAATGTGACTCTCTAATTGTTTTTTATATTCACATCCGCAGATGTTGAAAGACAAGGATTCTGGGCAAGGTTGAATATGTAACCGCCTAAACAGCAAAACGTGTGTACTTACCTTCCATGTCAAACATCATACCAAAATGATTGCCATTCTTTTTGTTTAGTAGGGTGACATAGTCACTCCCGTCGTAGTTCATCATTGTGATTTTTGTGGCAAATGCTAGAAACAACTTCCTGCAATGTAAAAGAGTATTTCAACAGTTTGCTTTTCGCCGGTTGTCAAATCATTGTTGGCATACCTAATTTACACGGCTTTAGCTTGAATCTGTTATTTCAATTTTAGTTGACTGTAATTCTTACTTGTTCCGAGTGTCGATAGCGATTCCCCATACAAGTGAATTTTCAGTCGGAACCTTTGTCAGGATCTTTGTGTCCATGTTTATCTTCCACAAGGAGCTATTATCATCATTTTGAAGGTCGAACACAAAGATTGCCCTAAGTTCGGGATCAAGGGCCATTCCATATAAACCTAAAAAGTTGAACCAAAATAGTAATTCTTTAAATACAATCACAAATACGATACACACATCTGCTGATCTGAGGGGTGATCTCTCTCAACATCACAGTGTTTACCTCAATAAATTAAGATGGCTTCTTTGGAAGGTACGTGTTGGTGAGTTTATTTGTTTTAAGTTCGTAATTATCAAATATCTTTACATCCTTACCTCTGGAGACGTTCACCCACGTTTCGTAGTCTTCTCCTGAAGACTTGACCCTACAAACAGACATGAGAGCATAGTCGGACCAGTAGACGTAGTCCTCCACAGGGTCGTATACAGGGCACCTGGGGTTGGGGGTGTGGATCGGGAGAACACTGCAGCTGGACCTGCCATCCAGGATGCATCGGTACACGCTCCCGTTGACTTCTAAAGCTCCACCGCTGTCTGTGATAAACATTATCTTTTCTGTCGCTGAAAATGAAGAAATAACTATTATAATTCTTAAATCGACGCCTTTTGGGGCATTTAGTTGTTTCGCCGTAATAAGCGACCTGGATATTAACCTCAGATATAAGTACAAGGCTAAGTTCGTATATCTTGGCTGGCTGTTTAGGTCCGTATCATCACATTTCGTCAAAAACTACATGCGAGTTGAACATTATCACTATCTGCATAGGCGGAGCCAGTTATCTTCAAAGGGGGTGGGGGGAGGGGGGAGGTGTGTGTGTGTGTGTGTGTGTCGAACCTGCATTACCAAAACCAGGTTTAAACAGCAATGTTTTTATATTCGTTACCCAATTTTTATTTCCGTCATCATTATTTTTTTTTGCATGGACCTAATATCAGAATGTACCTTCATTAACATTATCTTCAGGGAAAAGGTTCCTATAGAACCAGCCTATACTGTACCTGTAGTATATACATTCACTCTGTAAATAATACCACGGAGATAATTCTGGTGTGGCTGTCTCTATCACAGCAAATATATTGATATACAAACATATATATTCAGAGTGACAATAATAGGAATGTACAGTGTATTCGTTAACAAACAGTCACGCCTGATTAACATAAAGAAGTATGTCTTAAATAGGTGAGTCATAATATTTCCATATCATAGATTCGCAGTGTACGCTATGATAGGTGGGTTCTGTGGCATTGTGATGTAGGTTTCGACTGGGTCCATGAAGGCTTTATGAAGGCAGTTCAGTAATTTAATGCGCAAGTGGGAAATACGACTTGTTTGTCTGGAGCTACGTCTTTGCTATTGTATATTTACAACAATTACATAGAGGTCTTTATTATATAACACTCCCTTGCTAAACCTGAATTGTGTCATTGCGATTGTATATTCATAACAATTACATATAGGCTACAGGTCCTTATTATATAACACGTCCTTGCTTTAACCTGAATTGTGTCATATTGTTACATTCCAAATTAACTGTTGTCTCCAACAAATATATGCCAGGAACCGATGGAAGGATGGACAGATCGGATGGCATAAATGCTGCGCCATGCTGGATGCAGGTGAACTAGACAAATTGGTCCTAAATATACCGTGACAGTGATTCCCGACACACAGAGCAATGTCGCATCTGTATCACTACCTCCTAGAAACGTGGGATGTGGGCAAAGCAGGTCAAGCTTTGGGTACCGAGGAACCATGGTGTATGGAGTATCTACAAAAGTTCTACTGCTACTTACAACACAGCCCAGAGACATAAAGTACTGAAGTTTCAACTTACCATTATTAGATTCAGCGGCAGCGATCAGAAGTGCAAGGACACACAAGACGAAGACAAGTGTAGTATCCGCCATGATGTCACACCAGTATATCTACCCACACCAGTATATCTACCCACACCAGTATATCTACCCACGCCAGTATATCTACCCCCACGCCAGCCGGGAACACGGGTATTTCAACTCTGCTCAACTATTTGTGTACGAGGAAGTATATTACGCTTCAGCACAACTTGCTTTAGGTGACAAACCTGTCGGGTTGCCAGTAAGGCTATTAATGCATGTCATGCCTCTCACATCAGTAATGTATGCATGTGTCAGTGTGAGGTTTGAACAGTATGCGATATAAGTCATATCAACTTGCACTGATGTGTGCCGTGTGTTGAGAAGAACAACCCTTCCGACTTCTTCGCTTGGATGACGTCTGGCTGGTCTAGTAAGTGAAACAGAAGATTTACTGGTTGCTGGTAAGGACCAGTCACTTTCTTCTCAATATGTGATTTTAAAATGTAAATATGAAATGTAGATGATGTAAAGATTTTCACGAGTCTGTCCAACAGTCAGAGGATTCCTAGCGTTGGCACGAAGACAACTAATCTAAGTGAAGTAATTGCATGCAACCGTCGTTCTATTACCGTCTTTGCAATGCTTGTGGTTCAACCATAATACGACCCAGAATATGTGGAGGGCCTCAAGGAAAATGACAACTGTAAAATTCTTTGGAATAAGCCCTTATACAGCCTCAGACGTATCCAAGCCAACAAAAGTGGCCTTGTCCTTTTTTATTAAACTAGTGAAAGTATGTATATGATTGAGTTTTCTGTCCCTTTTTAGACAAATGTGATTGACAAGATTCAGGAGAAGCATGTCAAATATGCGGACCTCGCTTACAATAAGCCACGTGCATCCGAAGAATTAAGTTGTTCGACTCACCATTGTTCTTGGTGCTCAGGTACCTCTCAATCTGCTGATTGACATTGGGAGAGAACCCGTGTTTACTGCCAGGACCACGACCCTTCTGACAGTGCAGGAATCTACACATTCTCCGGAAAGTTCTTGCTGGGTTCGAGAAGGCAGCGGTTCCTGGGAGATATAATTCGCTGTATGGGCTGCATGTAAAAGGGGCAAGGGCTCTGAGCTGAGAACGAACCAAACCTGCCTGCAGTGCCTCATTTTGTCCTTTTTGATAAGGCCACTGAATTTATTTTTTGTCATTTTCTGTCCCTTTTGTCAGCAATGTGATGACCAAGATTCAGGAAAAGCATGATAAATATGCGCACCTCGCCTTTGAAATGTCTCGCTTGAATTCTAGTCGTCGGGCTGCTGAAAAACATAACAATTATCTGTGAAATATGAAATTTAGCATATTTTGGATTTTAACACGAAATAGGGTTACCGAAACACAATCGTGGAAAGGCAATAGCTACATGTGCAGCTGGAAATCTTGCAATAATGTTGGTACTGTTTCATGGACGAAACTCAGGACAGGGATGGAATACTGTTGCTTAGATACAAGTATTGCATGAGGAGGAGACAGGAATGCAAAATAGGTGTTCAAAATGGTGCCTGCATAGGTTAGACGAGTCTGTATGTGATAACGTCCAAGTGACCTTGTATGCGATATTGAAGCCTGTCTCACAGCCCTGGATCATACAAGTTTCCCAGGGATGAGCAACTGTGACATAGATATTTTATCAAAGTTTACGAACAGTTCTTTAATCGACAGTTTTTTAATTACACAAAGAAGTAGAATCGATGTATTGCCCCTGAGTTTAGAAATTATTTCTATCCAAATTATTTCTTTTCAGTCTAGTAGTTTTGTATAAAACACTATCAGCAACAGAACAACTTTACGCATGCGCGTTGCAAATGGTCACGTCATAGGTCTGGTGACAATTCTATGTTTACAATCGCGTATACTTTCAAGTCTCAAATAAGGTTAGTACCAATATTTCATAGCGTATTTTTGACTACTAACGACTAACAATGTGTGTAAATCGTTTATGTGTGTGTTTCGTTAAACATTGATTTGAGGCACAGTAAAGGACGTTATCCTACATGCATTTACAATAGACTGGAAAGTCGGCCATGTTTGTTGCATGCAGAAACATGGGATTGTGCACTGTTTCAGAAGATCAGACGGAACCGTACAAGACAATCAGCTTTTGCCATCCAGTATGATTATGGATGGGTTGTCACCTTCCTGATACCTAAGTGTTCAGGGGCCACTCTGGGAAGGGTTGTTAACAAGGCGTGAAAACTGAGGGGCCACTGTGTTTTGTTTCCACAGTGAGTCAGTATGATTGCTGTACAATTCATTGGTATAGGTATACACGTCTTTGTGTTATCCCTGACTGAGACTGAGTGAAAACGCCGTTTACCTGAAGTGTAATGTACTCCACTGATGGTGTCATGGCGCGGATAACGTTAGTTAATTCTGGTTCAGTTGATTCAGTAGGTAGACTGAACTGAGCTAGTAAATGTTACACATATTTTATTTAGTCCAGGTCCTGGTCATGTTTGGGTCTACCAAGACGTCGGATGTATACCGAGCTTTCTTAGCATTTTTCAAACCAGATTAAAATATACGTACACCCGACAATGGACAAATATATTAGCATCTAGAACATTATGAATAGCCTTGAAGCCGAGAAATATGTAATAGATTCAATCTTGTGTACATTTGCAACCGATTTCTCGAGCTGTAAGTACAAGGCTAAATATTGATATTCAGATATAAAATTGCAAAGTCTGAAAGCGTATGTACAACTTAAACGATCTCGCTTACCTGTATGGCCTTGGCACTTGGAAGCCATGTTCTATCATATTGATCATCACAACAATGAAGGTTTATCCTTATGAGCGGTAATTTTACTTGCATTTTTTGCTCTGGAAATCAGCTGGAAGCTTCTTGACCATTCCAAACAGTTTCCAAGAGATGGCATTTCTTTGGGTGTGTCAGGATTGACCATTCGGATTACTGGACTAAATCTCTACAGTCACGTAGATCAGTGAATTATGTGCCTATAAAAAGAATGCCTCACTCATTATGCTGCCCTGTGCGTGCCTATTGTTGTATGGTGAGTGCCATACTAACCAGACCTTCTGATCCAGCCTTCGTTCAGTGCTACAAGGGGCACCTACGTCCTTGGTCTCGACAGCAATTGGATCAAAAGTTTATCAGCCTTCTACAGAAATGTGGCCTTGACTCTCAATCATACTCGTTCCACAGCTTGAGAAAGAGTGGTGCTTTGCTGGCTGCAGCTACAGTCTCAAGTGACAGGGGCTTTTGTGCAATCGGCCTTTGGCCATCGTCGTCTAAAAAGGGCTATGTCAAAGTCTCACCACTCATTCTGTCCCGAGTTTCTGGCAGAATGGCAAAAACATTTAAAAATATTTAAATAACTTGGTGAATGCAGTGTTTGCGGTGCTTAAATTTTCCCGGTGGCTTTCATGGCCTGCTGCCACCTGCAGGCTATAAAATCTCCAGGTCCAGGGTGAAATCTCCAGGCCCATTTTGTTACAGTCAAATCAATAAAATCAAAGTAGACTACACTGTACACAGTTTCACACTGTTTCTACAAAATCAATTTGCGAGGCTTATGGCGCAGAGGGAGATTTTTATTTGTTAAAGGCTGGTGTTGACATTTCTATGCACAAAGCCAGGAAGTGAAACTGTAAGTTATCTTAACATGGTGGATTATGGAGGATTCACGAACGTTAATGAAGAGAACAATTATGGGAAATATTCCAGTTGAAAAACAAAATGCCATAATTTACTGAAGGCCACAAAGGCCTGCACATATTTGAAACTGCCGGCCTGATACAATAACAACCGGCGCTGGGCCTCCGGGCCTGGGATTATTTCGAACGCTGGGTCAGTGTACAGTACCTTCCCATGTCGCCACTCGAATTTGTATTCTGAATCAGGTTTTCATAACTTGTCACATCTATATTCACACGTTTCCAGTTTGATATTTCCTTGGTTTTCTTTCAGGCTGAATGTCAAAAGCATCTTAATTTAATTTTTAAGTATATATTGACGACTGCTCATCAAAACATGTCTTTTTCTCGTAATGATGGATCTGCCTAGCTGTTTGGTTTAGATGTTTTGTTTCACATTTTTACTTTTCAGGCTGTTTTGAGAAATAGATATATGGACAAAATGGTGCTCGATACTTCAAGTGTGTTACCTTTCGGGATCTGCGTGTGTAGAATTCCTTAGTCTACAATCTAGTTTCCCCTTCAATGTTAGTTTCTGCCTACGGTTTATGGTTAATACACAAGTGGTGAAGTGATGTTTTGGAGACATTTTTACTGTTCAGTTTTGGGGTTTTCTGTTCTCTCTCTTGTTTGGCGGGCTTTGCCTTGGTGTCTGTGGTGTTTATAGTATTTTAGATCAGTCTTGGGCTGTGTGATATTTTTTACGTATCTTGTTAAACTCCACCTAAACCACCAAACAAGTGTTTGTTATCTTCTTCAAAATTATTTCTGCAAAATCATGTGTCATGATGTCTAATTTGCATATAAACCGGAACTGTCTGTCTTGTTCCCTACCACGCATGCGTCCTCTCCTTTCCTGTCATGCATGTGCGGCTTTCTTTTTTATTCCCAACTTATATTAATTTTCTTAATCACCCTCCCTCCGTCCCTGCCCTCGTTTATCGTATTTAAATATAATTATACTCAGCCTCATGACACATTGTTTTGCCTAAACAACTTCAATATTTTATCTGGTTTTTTTGCTTTTGACTCACACTTTGAGACATGCTGTGACTATGGTGACTGTGGTGTTTATAGTATTTTGGTCAGTATTTTTTCACCTCAGCGACGTGTTTTACTTATGTTATTAAACTGGTGCAAGCAAGTATTTATGTATGGAGGTTATCAAATTACGCAAAGAAATAAACTCGATGTATTGCCCCTTTTAGAAGGTATTTCTATCAAATTTATGTATTTTCAGAGACAAAGCGTAAGTCTAGTAGTATTTCATAACAGTCTCAGCTCGCCCTGCGCATGCGCAGTGCATATGATCACGTCATATGGTGACAATTCTATGCTCCACCATATACTTTCCAGTCCAAATAAGTTAGTATCAATATTGTCACAGAGCATATTTGCCCACTGACGGGCATAGAAGAATGTGTGTAACCGATTATGTGTGTATTTCGTTAAAACATTGTTTAGAAGCACAGCGACATGGTCCTACATGCATTTACAATAGACTGGGAGGTCGGCCATGTTTGTTGCATGCCATGGGATTGTGGGCTATTTCCCAAAGGCTCAATCGGAATCGTGAAATACAATCAGTTTTTGTCGTCCATTATGATATGGACGGGTTGTGTGTTTCTATTTAGGGACAGTTCATAATATATGGCTGGGGGTGGGGGTGGTGTTGATGATGATTTTTATGGGAAAGCATGTACAATGTAAATGACCCCTAAAATGTATTTACAAAATAAGTGACCACCCCTGCATGTCATGTCCAAAATCAATTACCCCTCCCCCTCCCATAATTTCTAAGCATAATTTTAAACATATTTTTATGTACAAAATTCCTGACCCCTAGTACATGTGTACAAAATTGCTGACCAATTAGAACAAAATGGGTGACCCCCTTAAAATTATCATCAACCACCACCACCACCACCCCACCCCCACCACCCCTAGCAATAGATTATGCAGGACCCTTACAATAAAAACATTTGATCAATAAAACGAAAGCGAAAATAGGAATATTTTCAGAGGCTATTCGCGTCACCTTTTGCGTCTTAGGACCTCGAATCCATTTTAATGAAAATAGGAAACTTTAATTATATTATATCACTTGTATACCATGTACATACTGACTGAGTATTAAATTAAACGAAATATTCTGTCTATATTTTTTTTAAAAAGATAGGTAAAATGTCGTTGTTTCTAAAAATACAAATGTGTGAAAATACACTGGAATGCCGAAGGTGCGATGGAAGGAGGGAGAGATGTTTGAGTTGATGTTTGGATAGCTATATAATACCTATAACGTTTACTCAATGTCTATGTACAAAGTGCATGTACTTGAAGTACTCAGGGCATTGAACGCCGGTGTTATATTGCCATAATGCACTGACTGCAGCTATTGGTTTCTGTGCACAAACCCACACAGCATTATTTGTAGGTAGTCATCGACATGCCTGGCAACGTGCCAGACAGATGTGTTGAAAAGTGTATTTTTCAGTAATTTTTGTTTGCTGGGTGAGTCACAATGATTACTGTACAATTCATTGGTATAGGTATACACGTCTCTGTGTTATCTCTGACTGAGACTGAGTGAAAACGCCGTGTACCTGTTGTGTAATGTACTCCACTGGTGGTGTCACGGAGAGCTGATAAGGCTACAGAACGTTGGTTAATCTTTATTCAGTTGATTCAGTAGGTAGACTGAACTAAGCAAGTGATGTTAGAGATATTTTATTTAGTTCAGGTTCTGGTCATATTCGGGTCTACCCAGACGTTGGATGTATAGCTGGCTTATCATTTTTCAAACCAGATTAATATATACGTACACCCAATAATGGACAAATATATTAGCACATAGCACTAGACATGAATACTATGCATGTTTAAAGATTGGCATTGAAGCAGGGAAATATGTAATAGATTCGACCTTGTGTACATTTGCAAACGACCTTGCTCGTGCTCGAGGATGTACAAGGCTAAATTTTCAATATTGATACAGGGAGACATCATAAACTTGCAAAGTCTGAAATAGTATGTACATGTAAGTTAAACAATCTTGAAGATCTGTACCATTTCACCTTCCATGTCCATCCTTAAATAACGTTCGACGGCAATACATACCAAATAAACATTTAATTTGACCTTCAACACAACAATGCATGTGCCCATGGTAACCACAAACTATCAAGATTTAAGATTTGTTATGTTATGCTTCAAATATTTCTTCAAGAGCAGAAATGAAATGCGAATCTTTTGTGAAAATATTGACGCATATGCACTTCATGAATGTGGGCCTATGGCCTTTGATACAATAAACGTTCGATAACACTGCGATGATTGTGATGTTAGACTTATGGCGCGTTATCGGGTTCCTGTCACCGGTTTTTCTGGTCTGGATTTCGTGGAGGTTGTACTGGAGTTTGCTGACTGAAATGCTAAAATTCACTCACTCACTCACTGTTAGTTGGTTATTGTACCGTATTTGCCTATACTTCTTTAACACAGCAGGTACCACTCGATTGGGGTTTAGGATGAAGATATACGGGAATAGAGAATGCAGAATGTTAAAATATAGAAACAACTAAAATATTCGAGATTACAGTGCAGATCATTGGTGCAATACGTTTCAGAATACCATCTTTTGGTTTCAGAAAGAGATGCGACGGTGTTTTGGTGACAAAACAAAGACAAATTAGAAGTGGAGAGAGAAGGAATGCCACACCTGTAAGAAATGGTATAAAGCTACTACAGCCTGGTGCCATCTGCGGCAGGAATAAAGGTGTCTCGGATATTGAGATGGACAGAGGTCGGGGTGCTGGTGTCTCCGAAAGTGAGAAGGAAAGAGGTCGGTATGCTGGTGTCTCCGAAACTGAGGAGGAAAGAGGTCGGGGTGCTTGTGTCTCTGAAACTGAGGAGGAAAGAGGTCAGGGTGCTGGTGTCTCCGAAACTGAGGAGGAAAGAGGTCGGGGTGCTGGTGTCTCCAAAACTGAGAAGGAAAGAGGTCGGGGTGCTCTTGTCTCCGAACATGAGGAGGAAAGAGGTCGGGGTGCTGGTGTCTCCGAAACTGAGGAGAAAAGAGGTCGGGGTGCTGGTGTCTCCGAACATGGTGGGGGAAAGAGGTCGGGGTGCTGGTGTCTCCGAAACTGAGGAGAAAAGAGGTCGGGGTGCTGGTGTCTTGGAAACTGAGAAGGAAAGAGGTCGGTATGCTGGTTTCTCCGAAACTGAGGAGGAAAGAGGTCGGTATGCTGACGTCTCCGAAACTGAAAAGGAAAGAAGTCAGGGTGATGATGTCTCCGAAACTGAGGAGAAAAGAGGTCGGCGTGCTGGTGTTTCTGAAATTGAGAAGGAAAGAGGTCAGGGTGATGATGTCTCCGAAACTGAGAAGGAAAGAGGTCGGTATGCTGGTGTCTCTGAAACTGAGAAGGAAAGAAGTCAAGGTGATGATGTCTCCGAAACTGAGAAGGAAAGAGGTTCGGGTGCTGGTGTCTCCGAAACTGAGAAGGAAAGAGGTCGGTATGCTGGTGTCTCTGAAACTGAGAAGGAAAGAAGTCAGTATGCTGGTGTCTCTGAAACTGAGAAGGAAAGAAGTCAGGGTGATGATGTCTCCGAAACTGAGAAGGAAAGAGGTCGGGGTGATGATGTCTCCGAAACTGAGAAGAAAAGAGGTCAGGGTGCTGGTGTCTCTGAAACTGAGAAGGAAAGAAGTCGGGGTGCTCATGTCTCCGAAACTGAGAAGGAAAGAGGTCGGTATGCTGGTGTCTCTGAATCTGAGAAGGAAAGAGGTCAGGGTGATGATGTCTCCGAAACTGAGAAGAAAAGAGGTCGGGGTGCTGGTGGCTCCGATACTGAGAAGGAAAGAAGTCGCGGTGCTGGTGTCGTGGAGACTAAGGTGGACAGAGGTCAGGGTGCTGGTTCAGCTGGTAAAAGGAAAATATACAAGGCTTTTGGAGAGGAGGAGGGAGAATGTTTTGGTGGTGGAATAAAATGGAGGAGAGATCAAAGTACCATTGGAGGTGGAGATAGAGACGACATTGACGACGAAAGTGGAGGAGAAGACGTTGTTGATGGCAAGTAGGGAGGAAGGTGGGAGAGATTTCAGTATATGACTGGAGGTGGAGATAGAACTGTTCTTCGTGGAGGAAGAGAAAGACGAGACAAAGAGCACACTGTTGATGGAAAGCGGGGAGAATATGAGAGGTTTGGAGCAAGATGGGAGAGAGATGAGTACATCCTTGGAGGTGGAGGAGGCGCTGTTGTCGGTGGAGGAAGAGAAAGACGGTTCAGAGATGGCTCTGTTGGTGAAAAACAGGGAGAATGTGGTGATGGCGGTGGTATTATATGGAAGAAATACCATTACAACACTGAAGGAATGGATAAAGGAAACGATGACGTTTGTGGAGGAATAGAGGTGGGACTTGGAGATGGTGCTGTGGTGGGAATGCAGGGAAAATGTGATAGCAATGAAGACGAAAGGAGAGGAGATCGTTGTACTGGAGGAAGAGAAGGAGATGGCACTGTCAAAACAGCGCAGCCAGAATATGTTGATGGTGGCAGAATGCGGACATGAGATTATATCAAAAGAGAGAGAATTACGAAAAGACAGAACAGCGAAAGAGGACAAAGACTGAGCGTAGATGATGGCGACAGACACAGAACAGATGCTGTTGATGGAGATGGACAGAACCTGATGGTGGGCATCGTTGCAGATGTTACCAATGTGCAGAACGGCCATTCCAACATCATAGTACATCAAACAGTACATGTCAAGAATCTGACTGGTATGTATTTTCGTAATGATTTACCGTATGCGTTAACTGTAGATCCATTCTCTTTATATGATACATGTCATTAGCGCGACAACAGATGTTCAGAGTGTTAATATTTTATAATGTTGAAGGAAATAACCTGTTGAATAGAATATCTGTTCTTCTAGACCTATATATTTCAGACAGCACATATGCTTTTCTCCTTTTGATATACAAGAAATGCGTTTCGCTAAAAATGACTTAACAATTTTGGAAATTGTGTAAATCTGCTTGTTTGAATCTCTGGATGTTTCTTTACTCAACATCTCCCATGAATGACATTGTGTTGATGGAAAGGGTCATACATGGTAGAATTGTAATTACTCAGAATTAGATTTGAATGCAATTACAAACAAAGCCAGGGGATTTAGATAGCCTAAAGGTCCTCTGTTGATTATTGTTTCAGTAATGCCAAGACGTGTTGGAAGAAGAAGGAAGCTTCGGCCAAGGTCACGGATGGTAGCCACAAGATGTACACAGACTGTTGGTGAGGGGGCCAAGGTCACGCGAAATACAGACACGGTTGATGAGGTGGCCAAGGTCACGCGACGTTCACAGACTGTTGGTGAGGTGGCCAAGGTCACGCGACATACACAGACTCTTGGTGAGGTGGCCAATGTCACGCGACATACACAGACTGTTGGTGAGGTGGCCAAGGTCACGCGACATACACAGACTGTTGGTAATGTGGCCAAGGTCAAGCGACATACACAAACTGTTGGTGAGGTGGCCAAGGTCACACGACGTACACAGACTGTTGGGGAGGTGGCCAAGGTCACACGTCAAACCAAGTCTGTGAGGCGCTACTTGAGGCCACACTGCCAAGATCAGAAGGTCAAAAACAATCTCACGATTTGGTTCCACGTTTTAGTTCAAATCGAGATCCTGGTGGTCCTGATCGTGATGGTGTTCATGCAGCATTAATTCAATCCGAACATTTGCTGCATATAAACGCGTGCGCAGGAGGGTGTATAACAATTCAAGAGTGTGTTATATGCCGGAAATGTGTAAAACAGTTGTTTCACTTGAAATAGGTATACGACGAGTTGATTTTGCAAGTAATATTACAAAAATAGAATTCAGATTGAATTCATACCTTCCGAAAAAATATTTATGAGATTTATGTTCAACTAAGTGATCTACCTATTTGTAAACCACATTTTCAAGTTCAACATTTTGCCTGGATATCTTCCAATGAAATGTTAAACTTGCAAATAAAGCTTACAAATAAGTTAGATCACTCAGTTAAACATGAATCTCGGAAATATTTTTTCAGAAGGACAGAATTCACTCTAAATTCTATTTTTATAATATTAAACAAAAACAATGTGTCGCACAGCTATTTCAGTTGAAACAACTGTCACACGTTCCCGGCATCAATTCTGCGCACGCCGGGGTGGGGACGAGGGAGTGGGTGGGGTGGGCTCTTGTGGGTCAGGGAGGGTGGGTTAACATATTCCTGTATGGAATACAAGTGTAAGCCGCATCGGCTACATCACTGCGTGTGCAGTACATTGTATTCCGGTTGTTAAATAACGCATTATTTAGCAACGGAACAGATTCCGTATCCTCAAAGAGGAATTTTGTAGACACGTCCACTTGTTTAGCAAGTATTCTTTTCATATCTACGAGCATGTACTGTTATCAGCTTGTCAACGAACAGTATATTGTAACCTTTTATACCGTTGTACCTCACAATAAAATATAATTTCGAGTTTTTTAGTATTTTAATAATGTATTATATTCAAAACTAGTGACTGTAAATAATGTCTAAATGTTCAAAGACAATACAGGCTTTCGATAATGAGAGAATAACATATCACATTGTTTAATCTATTAGTCACATGATCATAACGGGTCCGGGTATGGAGACGGGTACCCGGGTCCAACTCATTACCCACCCGTCCAAGCCCTAGTAAGCACGCCAGTGGCATCTAGTCGTCGGGATCTTTTAGATAGTTACTGTCACCGTGACCTATTAAGCGTAATCGCTCATACTGTCAGTCAAACTGTGGCAAATAAAATGCAAGGAATTAAAACATACAAGCTTTTCTTGATAATATCACTAATCTATTCGAGTTTACTACGGTTATAACGAATAGGGACCACCTCCTAGTTCGTTCGTTTTTTGCATTCCGACTAAAGGTACAGCAAGCATCCGGGACCCCTAAAACAGTCCTTGATATCCTTCATTTCGTTATAAACATAGTTGACTGTACAGCAAGGGCACTCCTTTAAAACACCACATGTGTTAAATCTTTACCTATCTCCATTATTTATTGATTGTCAATAGTGTGTTGCTAAGGTATGAACAGAAACTTGACAAGGACAAATGCAGCACGACAATACTGATTATGTTCAATGGCTGGCATCTTCGAAGCTTGAGATCGATAGCATCACATGACGTTTTGCAAGCGTGCACGGTAAACATGCACACTTCGGAATGCACCTAGCTGATTGGTTAACGATGACGAAGCTGTTGGAATCAGGACAGTATATAACAGCTGACATCGCACTTATTGCGTGTTTTATTCAACACGGGGTTTGCAGCTAAGGTTGTTTCGACCAGGCTCTGTGGTAGTCAGGACAGGTAGGTGTCACTTTCTTCACTTTACTTTCCCAGCTTGTCCAAGACTGAAAGTTACCTATATATAATTCTACAAGGAAACACACAAATATTGAACAGCTACAAAACAATATTTCAGTTATCCTGTGAAATCCCCAAGGTTGACCCCACCTTACCACTTTAAGAAAAGCATTTGTCAATGATTCGCTACCAAACTGTGGACGGTTAAAGCGTTCACGCCGAAGACCCGGGTTCGACTCCCCACCCGGGTTCGAGTTCAATGTGTGAAGCCCATTTCTTGTGTCCCCCCGCCGTGATACTGCTGGGGTACTGCTAACAGCGGCGTAAAACTAAACTCACTCACTATCAAAGTGTGTTGGCACATGGCGTTTGCCAGCGTCTCCTTGCACCCGACACGGCAACTCTCATATACCCACGTGTACATACACATGTAGCGTTACCGCACAACTCAAATCAATATGTATATTGATTGACCCACTGCAAAGGCTGCAGCAAACGGCTGGTGAGGTGAACCCATGAATGCAGCTCTCTGTCTGGGTTGCTGACTATTTAACATGTACATTATACAGGTCAAGATATATAGAGTGACTTTCTTCAATCAGAATAATGGATGTGGTTCTCAAGACCTCCCTGGCTCTGGTATGAAGTTATTATTCCATTAAATCGTTTTAAGATTTGTCGTTTGTAAAGCTGATAATCGTTCTATATTTCATCCCAGAGACAACGGCGAGTGGTGACATACGAACCAGGGATCTGTTCAAACTCCGGGGCAATGTCTGAAGCTAGGGGGGCGTGCTACGTCATACCGTCTGGCTTCGAGCCAAACAAACAATTAAAGTACAGTTCTCAGCATATGAATGCCCAAAATACATGTCTTTTACGATCAGAGAAAGGTAGAAAAGGACAGTTGAAACATGCCAACCAGTCTTTACAATCTGACCAAAAGCCAGACAGCTGTAAGAAGCATCTCTGTACTCGTCCTCAAATCGATATACGGCGCATTGTACAAATCGGGCACAATAGAAACACAATTTCTTTTATTCAAAAGAAAGATAGCAATGCCAGTGATAGCAATGCAACTATTGTACAACTCGGAAACAACAACATTGTATATGTATATTTAGGTGACAAACTCCCTTCGAACATACTGCTAGGAGACACGGTCGTCGTGTACGTCCCCCCTGGGTGTGACGGCAGGCCCCGAGTGTTTGTCTGCGAACAGAGAGGACCTGACAACCAGATCGTCACCCACTGTCGCCACAAGTCCCCACGGATCTATGAACGACAGACATTCGGCAACTTCCTGTCACGACACTGTCACGTGATCAGATCTGTCCTGCTGCCAACTGCTTCCGGCTCCAGTAAGAAAGGTAAGTGTTGCTGTGGACGGACGCCACTTTGGGTTTGTTGTTGTCAGCTATGTTACATTGTTAGTAAAGTAAAAAAAAAACATTAAAAAGGCTAACAGCCCAAATTGTAGATATATGTATCTACAGTGTAGATATATGTATCATAGACAAAGTGGTGGCACAATACCACGATTTTAGAAAAAAAACAGCTAAAATTCAAAGAACGTTTACAAGGCGAGGACATCTTTGAACTATATCGCACATAACTGTAGTGTATGCGTCTAGATCTGCTATAAAACATAAGGTTTCAATGCGTTCCCCGAGCCAAGAACATGATAATGATAAAGGTTGCAGTCTTAGAAATTTGTTGTAATTTTCTGAGAGAGTGTACCTTTTTTACATTTTTGTGTTGTAAAACATTTTGTGTGTTAAAACATCACACATATGACACATGGACATAAAATGTAACTCGTCTTCTATGAGGTTTTTCGGGGGGAGTTGGGAAAACATTGAATTTTACCAAAAAATGTTATTTTAACTCAATTTTAAATTCTCGTAACTTATGCATCTAGAATATTGTGAGCACAGATGAAAGTTTATTTAAAGGAATATATCCTTATGTGTACTTACCTGTATAATGTATGAGCTTGGTTGGCTATAGATCACCTATAAAATATGTCTGAAAAACTCATCCAGGTTTCCATCCCTTGACTTGTCTGTATATATCTTGTCGTCATGGAAGAAGATCTACATCCGTATTGATGACACTGATGGGGTTGTGTTGGCCATAGCTGCATCGAGCATTCTCAATCCCTTCCAATATTTCACAGGCTGTGGCAGTGTGTCAAAGAAGACCTCGTGGAATGCATGGAACGCTTTTCCTGAACATACAGGCACCTTTATTTCCCTCGCTTGTCCACCACTTGAAATTACTAATGCGCAGATTCATCAGCTTGAGATATTTGTTGAGCTGCTGTATGACAGAGCAAGCAACCTCATGAAAGTGAATGAAGCAAGAAAGCATTTGTCCGCCACGAAGGGGAGAACACTGGACAATATTCCCCCAACAGAATTAGCTTTGATCCAACATAACTTTGGACAACTCTCCTGAAGACATGAAAGAGCTGCCAGGAATTGCTGAAATGCATGTGTAAAAAAATGTTCTGGTCCATGTGTGTAAAAGCATTTCTCATGTGCACTGCACTTTTCTGATTCAGTCAAACTAGATACAATAACACTCAAGAAATGAATGCGTAACCTACCAGATTGATGAGATAGCTACTTTGAAATTGATGTTGAAATGAAACATGTTTGCATTGATTTTGATCTTTTTTCATAAGTGATCTATAGCCCACCAAGCTCATACATTATACATGTAAGTAAATCTATTGATATATTCCTTCAAATAAACTTCCATCTGTTCCCACAATATTCTAGATACATAATTTATGAGGATTTAAAATTGGGTTAAAATAACATTTTTGGGGGAAAATTCAATTTTTCCCCACTCTTTCCCCCCAAAATGAAAAATGGCCCACATCTGCAAGGCTTCTCGTATTGAATTTGCAAAGAAATGATAAAAATATATTAGATCATGGGGTGATCTCATACTTATTTATGATGTAGTCTATATGGCGGCCATTTTTCCCATTTTCGGAAAGTCATGATATATATTGACTTCCGTAGAACTAACCGTTAAAGTTAAAATAACATGTATAGCTGAAAAATGACCAGCTATGAATTTCCTACAATTTGATATATGACCTATGAGAATTAGAGAGTTTTAAAAGAAGTTATGATGAAAATAGTACCAAACAAAAAGATTTTATTATCACTTTTCCCCAAAAAATTATGAAAAATATCAAAAATAGGCGAGGCCTCTCGATCTTTATTTAAAAAGAAGGGTATAAGCTACAATCATGCCAAATTTCATGCTTGTAGCACAAAGTGCATAATTTGATTACTTATCCGCTGGGCTATATTCTTGATAAGATCTTGATAAGTATCTTGTTTGGTCTCTTTAGTGTCTGTGAAGCCAAGGTTTAATTGCAAAAGTTAAGTTTAGTTTAGAATAAAAATCAAATATAGTGATGGAACTCACGTAAACTGACATGCATGTCATGGTGATCCAAAACTGGCGATTGATGCTCAGATGATAGAATATTGATTTTATACATCTTCATCCCACTCACTCATGATCACTCACTCACTCACTCACACACAAGTATGGTGACCTGTGATTTGTATTTGTTTTTAATCTAGTTTTAACAAATCCATGATAATCTAGTAATTTTACTGTCCTTCGTTGACAGGGTTTTATGAATCATCTGTATTTATCATGAATTTAGAACTAGTTTTAGTTACGATATGGCTGAAATATTGCCAATGTGACTTAAAATGTGAACTCACTCACCCACACACATTTACACACTCACCCCCCCTGCCCACTCAACCACCAACTCACTCACTCACTCAAGAAGAGTAAAATATATGAACAATAAACGAACATAATAGCCATTGGAGTAGACACTGAGTTTTTTCGAAACGTGTATAAATATGTTTCCTTCTTGTCAGCTGCGGGCCGTCATAAGCCGTTGACTCCCGGGGACTGCGATGTCGTGACCATCAAGCATGGCGGCTCTCATCGGACTAACACAAGCAGAAGAGTGAAACCTGATAGCAGGAAGTACCTCGGGGGGTCATCCCATCGGGGTCAAGGTCACCAGAAAACTGTGAACCCCGTGTGCCTGAGAATAGGCATCCCTTAGACTTTCATTTAGCCTCAGAAGAGGATCTGTGTTCCTGTGGTCCACGCATATTCCAGTTAGGAATACCTTGTAAGCCATATTGGCTCAAGCCTAAGACATTTGTACATTCACTAAGCATCAATTGCAATGTTAGTATAAATATAGTGTACATGTACATTTATCATATATTATGTACCCTTGTAAGCCATATTGGTTGTATCAATGACAGCTGTAAGTTCTTATACATCACTTGCAATGTTAGCATATATATTGTAATGTCTGCTTGTATAACATATACACATGTAAATGTATTATATACCATGTGCTCCTGTAAGCCATATTGGTTGTATCAATGACAGCTGTAAGTTCTTATACATCACTTGCAATGTTAGCATATATATTGTAATGTCTGCTTGTATAACATATACACATGTAAATGTATTATATACCATGTGCTCCTGTAAGCCATATTGGTTATATCAATGACAGCAGTACATTCACTATACACAACTTGCTATGCTAGTATATATGTATATTGTACTGCAACCTTGTATAACATATACACATGTATATTTATTATATACCATGTGCTCCTGTAAGCCATATTGGTTATATCAATGACAGCTGTAAGTTTATTATATATAAGTTGCAATGGTAGTTTATGTTGCACTGCCAACTTCTATAACACATACACATGTATATTTATTATATACCATGTGATCATGTAAGCCATATTGGTTATATCAATGACAGATGTAAGTTTATTATATATAAGTTGCAGTGCTAGAATATCTATTGTACTATCAGCTTGTATAACACATACACATGTGTATTTATTATATACCATGTGATCCTGTAGGTTATATCAATGTCAGCTGTACATTCACTATACATAACTTGCAATGTTAGCATATCTATTGTACTATCAGCTTGTATAACACATACACATGTGTATTTATTATATACCATGTGATCCTGTAGGTTGTATCAATGTCAGCTGTACATTCACTATACATAACTTGCAATGTTAGCATATCTATTGTACTATCAGCTTGTATAACACATACACATGTGTATTTATTATATACTACGTGTTCCTGTAATCCGTATTGGTTGAATCAATGACAGCTGTAAACCTATCATACATAACTTGCAATGCTCGTATATGTATTGTCTTTCTAGAGGATATACATGAATATCTTGTATATACTATATGCCCTTGTAGTCTTCTAAATAGTCCTATATACAATCTTATGAATGACATACAAATTTGTATGCATAATATTACACCGAACCGTGAGACAAAATCCTGTAAAATCATGATGACATACAGTTTACCGCTATCAGATTGAAAGCCTCGTTGTGCCACTTCTGTTGAAATCCGTGTCACAAAAAAACAGGCGTGTCATCATTTGCACATGTGACACACATTTAGACATTGAACAAATTTTTAATAATTTTAGTTTTGTTTCTCGTGTATATGAGTGTTTGTCTTAGAGTGAGGCCTGGATAAAGCAAATACATGCATTCATTAATTGACTGCTGGGTTATGTACATATTGATGGGATTTAGGAACCTGAATTCAGTATCATTGAGTGGATTTCTTAGTGTATAGCTGAGACACACAGAGATGTGGTATGTTACCATTCTGGTTGCACCATCCTTTTTATGTTTTTTTTTATTATCTCAACACAGTTTCGAGTAATGTGCTTGTGTACATGAATAAAATGTCTAATGAATCTATATCATTATTATTCTATTATTTAAAACTATCTGTATTCAGACATATAGGTCCAAGTCCTTTCAAACAATACATCTAGAAATTGTACCTATATTGCAAACACATAGTAGACTTTCAGTCGTATTTGTACACTTTGGATATATATATAACTAAGCTGCTAAAACTTTTGCATCTAATCGATATATCAATGGAGTAAAATCACACATGGTGCAAGTTAGTAAGTACTCATGGACCGATAAGAACGATTGTCTGAAGTATCCAAGATCACTCCATCATAGCTGTATTAGAGACTGATGTCCGGGTAACGATTTGGTTGGTTGGTTGGTTTGTTGTTTAACGCCCAACTCAGCAATATTCAAAGTATGTGGAGGCTGTCTGTTAATAATCAACTCTTGACCAGGCAATCCAGTGATCAACATCATGTGCATCGATCTACGCAACTGGGATACGATGACATGTGTCAGCGAGTTTGCGAGTCTGACCCGCTCCCGCTCCCGTTAATCGCCTCTTACGACAAGCATGGGTTACTGCAGACCAATTCTAACCCGGATCTTCACGGGTAATGAATAATCTTCCAAAATGAAACACAAAGGAAATATCGATAAACATCAGAGCATGTGCTATATAAGAACCATTATTTGATGCCATCTACAACCAAAATAATAATGATTATTTTTCGAATCATCCGTTCGCCGCAAATTAATCATCCAACATAACTGTTAGGAACTGTTTTAACAAAGTCAAAGCCAACTGAACACAACTAAGCTAAAGTGTTGCATGATTGAAAGCAGAAGAATTGCAAGCGAGCGTGGCGAGAACATTTTGTGTGTGTAAACTCTAGTAAGTGAACCTGTGGCATGGTACGTCATGTGACCGACCTAAATCAGACCGATCCCGTGCCACAACGTCATACTGCAGCAATCCTATCTCCATCGTGGCTACCTAGCTGAATCATCGACTACAGCAGCGATTCTAGGATTGCCAAAGACATAAAACCAGATATTGGTGAACCACCTTTGATAGGTTGGGGTCAGAGCCAGACCTGCTGTAACACGTGTACCAATGTTCACTGTACATCTTTACACCATGTGGCTCGTTTCGTAAGAACTTTGTCAACTGGCTGTTTTGAGAACGTAATGACGAAGATTATGTATTACTTTCAGTTTTATTCAGTTTGATCTTCAAAGGGTTTGTAATTGTAACTTTCACACGAACGTCCTGTAAATAACAATGATGCATGGTATGTTCCATACATTTTAGGGCTCAACAAATATTTTAAAATATTACATGGTAAATTTCATAGAACCTTGTCTTGTAGTGCCTTGTGTTACTTGTGTTTCATGGTTTGATATATTCAATAATATTTCAATTACCACCGAGGCTAATTTACAGCATCCTCGATAATCTCCAGGGTATACGTTCCGATAAATCTCCACTACTAGAACGCCTACCCAGGAGATTATCGAGGATGAATGTATAGAAGTGTACCCTAACTGAACCCGCCACGAATCGTTATCAGTTCCAATCTGGGACTCGAACCCATGACAAGTGGCCTAAGTTTAAGCCCATTTAAACCCACCTAGAACGTCAGCTGACTCCACCGGAGTTGCAGTTGTAGTCGTTGACGTAGTTGTGGGAATTTGAACATAAACGCCGAATGTTTTCTCGTCCTTTCCTTTATCGTTGGCAGCCTGAACTGTCCATAGCCCGTCATGAGAAGCCTCAGCAGTCAAAACAGTGCTGACATCCCTTGTTGTCGTATACCGGGGATCGAAGATGGAGACACTTGAAGCTGAGATTATGGTCCCGTCGGGTCTCACCCAGGTCACATTCGGAAACAGATCACCCTCAATCTGACATGAAATGTGTAGCAGATCTCCCTGTTTCACGGTATAGACATCCCCGCATCTTCTGCATGGTAAATCGTATGGTATTTCAGTACACTTGGGGCAGCGCATACCGGAACATTGCCCGAGTACACCAAGTACATCACGCTCTGGGTGAGGTTCTTCAGCCACTGAATGTCGCATGTGCATCTCCAGGGGTTGTCTGAAAGATGGATGATCTGCAGCTTCTGGAAGATCAGCTCGAACGAATCTGGAATAGTTGCTAATTTATTGTCGGACAGGTGTAGAGTCTTAAGGTTTGTCAAATGTTGAAATAATTGCACAGATACCTTTTCAAAATTGTTTCCATGGAGATCAAGGTTTCTGAGATTTGTCAACCCAGTGAACATGGCACTGGAAGCATGTCCAAGGTTAAGGTCACCCAGAAATAGATCTTGCAGGTTCTTCAAGGAAGCAAATGCGTCATCGGCGATCTTACATCCCGTGTTTCCAGTCAGATCCACGAAGACAACATCATTTAAGGCATGGAAGATGCCAGTGTTTATCTGGGAGATCTTATTATGTTCCAGGGCAATGCGTTTTAGTTTAGTCAATCCTTGAAACAAGTCATCGTCCAACGTTGTCACCTCACTGTAAGTAACGTAGAAATCTTCAAGATGCGAGAACGCTGACAAAGCTGAGTGTTTCAATGTTGATAGAGAGTTTCTGTTATTGAAGGAGCCAAGCAGGTTAATGCTGGTGGTGTTTGCAGGTAGACCTATCGGAAATGACGTCATCTTTGGCTGACACGTCACATAATCTGAAACTGCACAGATACAGTTGCTGGGGCAGGTTTGTGACGTCATATATCCGAAGACACAGACCAGTAGGAACGCCACAGAATACAAACAATGGACGTAGTAGTTGACCATGATGAACGTCTCTGGACTCAAGACACTGCCATGGGAATATCGAGAGTGTCCTACGATGACAGAATAGTCAATACAACATGTATGACATGACTTGATAATCGACATTCTACAGTATCATTGGTTAAGTCTTGTCAACGCACACATAAGACAAAATAGACACATGTTTGTAACGGGTGCTATCATTTAGCTAACACAATCCAGTAATTGACAGCAAGATGACAAAGCATGTTTGTGAATCACTTTCCAATAATGATGTTACCAGGTGTTCGCCCCAATATAACACCCGTCATAAACACACGCAAAGGCTAGTGAAGAATATGAAAAGGGTTTTGACACTTCTATTTATTGGATACAGAATATGGCTGTAGCCATGTTTATTTAGTCTTCTCTAGTAGATTGAACTACAACTAATAGTTCAATACATATGTTAATGGTCTACATGGCATATGAAATTAATGAACTGATATTGCGGGGGACATTTATCACGGGACTCTTTGATCACTGGCGTTACAGTCTGGCTCTCACATGTAGCTATGATCGCGAGGGCAAATGTATTGAAGACAGGAGTGAGTGAGCGTCGGGTTTTACGTGCTTTCAACAGTATTTCTGTTGGCATGGCTTATCAGTTGTGTGTGGCGAGAACTTGGTGACGGATATCGGGCTCAGATCGTGAGCCATATGGTGGGAACCTACTACCACGGGAATGTTGCGGTTAGACAAAGGGTTATGATCAGGGGAAATGCGACACGTTTTCAGCGGATCCTGGCGTTTCTAAGGGATGTGATGTGGATGTGGGTGTCTACATGTCTCTGTGTATGTTTGAGTGTGTTGTGTGCTTGTAATGTGTGCTATTGTGCGGTTTTGGTTTATGTCTTTCTGTGTGTCACACATGTCATTTAACAAATATGATAAATGTTCAGTTCCGTTCGATACAGCTGCCAAAATATACAGTTCGTCCTTAGGCAAGAAAGATTTCACAAAAACTACCAACAGTGAGGGAGCATCCAATAGATTTCTCTCGTAGGGAGGTTATATAAATTAATCGTTTGTCCAGAAAAATTCCCAAAATTAATAATAGCAGAAAAAGGGAGTACTTTATGTTGTTGAAAATCCCCAAATGTAAATGTTTGTGTTGATAGTGAGAATTACTTGTTTGATGGTGCTAAGTAAACAGTTTGTTGGACGCAGCTCTCCTCCCTCTACCCCAACACAAATCAAATGGATCCTTCCCGATCAGTGGGGCGGTCGGGTAGCCTAGTGGTTAAAGCGTTCGCTCGTCACGCCGAAGGCCCCGGGATCGATTCCCAACATGGTGAAAATATGTGAAACCCATTTCTGGTGTCCATTGCTGGAACATTGCTAACAGCGGCGTAAAACCATATTCACTCACCCCTGAACAGTATGTATCATCTTGACGTCATCACAGTATATGACCAGCCGTTGTTGGTGGCTATGGAGAATAAGGTTCCCCACGTGTGACCGCCGGTTCGAATCCCAGACTCGGCTGATTGAGTTTCACACTTTGTTTCACAAAATCATAAACGTTTCCAATGTGTCTGACTTCGGGCTTCCCGTAGGAACATAACACACCGTTAACTTTTACTTTAGTCACAAGTACAGTGCAGGAATCTGTGTTTGGCGTGCGTGTAATTGTGCGTGTGTGTGTGGACTTTAATATTTGAGTATTTATGGCTAGAAACATTCAACAGAACACAGCAAAGCTGACTCAATGAAACAGTGATGTACGTGCAAAGCAAGAACCCAGAGAAGTGAACTTATTCGCGATAGTTTCGTGCACGTGCACACATGACACACGTGACAAATATTCGGTATAAAAGCACGTGAAAATGTTTATGGACATCCACATTTTACGATTACCCACAATCACGTCACCAGGATCTTCGCCAGGCTGATGACCCGTTACAGACAGACAGGCAGGACAAAGGACAGGCCGAGGACTGGCAGACCCCGGGTCACGACCCTAGCTGACGACCGTTACTTGCGTACTCTGCATTTGCACAACCCATTCCTTACTGTGACATCATCAGCATCGACTGCGCTGGGTCATCGTATCAGCCGAAGGACGGTGTCCAGGAGACTTCGTCATCATGGTATCTGAGCCTACAGACCCTACCGTGGTGTAGCACTGAGGCGCTTACATCGACGTCGACGTGTGAGATGGGCACGTATCTTTCAAGGTTGGCAGCGCAAACAATGGGACAGAGTCTTGTTTACTGATGAGAGCAGATACCTCCTGAACAGACCTAACGGTAGGACACGAGTGCATCGACGCAGAGGAGAGCGGACGGCACGTTGCTGTGTGCAAGAGGTTGAGCCGTTTTGCGGTGGTGGCGTTATGGTGTGTGTGTGTGTGTGTGTAGGGGATGTGGTGACAGACAGACAGATCTGGTTGTTGTCGATTGGAATTTGAATGGGTAGCGTTATACCGACCAAGTCCTTCGGCCAGTTGTTCTACCCTTCCTACAACAGAATCCAAGAACCGTATTTCAACAGGACAACGCCCCATGTCACACAGCTCAACGTGTTCAAGGCTTTCTCAACGCCAACAACGTCAAAACTAGTGACTGTAAATAATGTCTAAATCTTCAAAGACAATACAGACTTTCGATAATGAGAAAATAACATATCACATTGTTTATTCTATTAGTCACATGATCATAACGGGTCCGGGTATGGAGACGGGTACCCGGGTCCAACTCATTACCCAACCGTCCCAGCCCTGGTAAGTACGACATACCTAGGAGTCTGCCAGTGGCATCTAGTCGTCGGGATCTTTTAGATAGTTACTGTCACCGTGACCTATTAAGCGTCATCGCTCATACTGTCAGTCAAACTGTGGCAATTAAAATGCAAGGAATTGAAACATGCAAGCTTTTCTTGATAATGTCGCTGATCTATTCGAGTTTACTACGGTTATAACGAATAGGGTCCACCTCCTAGTTCGTTCGTTATCTGCATTCCGACTAAAGGTACAGCAAGCATCCGTGACCCCTAAAACAGTCCGTGACATCCTTCATTTCGTTATAAACATAGTTGACTGTACAGCAAGGGCACTCCTTTAAAACACCACATGTGTTAAATCTTTACCTGTCTCCATTATTTACTGATTGTCAATAATCTAAGGTATGAACAGAAACTTGACAAGGACAAATGCAGCATGACAATACTGATTATGTTCAATGGCTGGCATCTGCGAAGCTTGAGATCGATAGCATCAGGTGACATTTTGCAAGCCTGCACGGTAACACGCACACTTCAGAATGCACCTAGCTGATTGGTTAACGATGACGAAGCTATTAGAAACAGGACAGTATATAAGAGCTGACATCGCACTTATTGCGTGTTTTATTCAACACGGGGTTTGCAGCTAAGGTTGTTTCGACCAGGCTCTGTGGTAGTCAGGACAGGTAGGTGCCACTTTCTTCATTTTACTTTCCCAGCTTGTCCAAGACTGAATCCGCCATGAAGGTTACCTTCAAATAATTCTACAAGGAAACACACAAATATTGAACAACTGCAAAACAACATTTCTGTTATCCTGTGAAATCTACCCTAAGGCTGACCCCACCTTATCACTATAACAAGAGCATTTGTCAATGATTCGCTATCAAACTGGGGACGACTACAGCGTTCACGCGGAAGGCCCGATTCCCCATATGGTAACAACGTGTGAAGCCCATTTCTTGTGTCCCCCGGCGTGATATTGCTGGAATACTGCTAACAGCGGCGTAAAACTAAACTCACTCACTATCAAGCTGTGTTGGCATATGGAGTTTTCCAGCTTATCCTGGCACCCGTCACAACCACATGTGAGGACACGGCAACTCTCATATACCCACGTATACATACACATATAGCATTACTGCATATCTCAAATCAATATGTTACTATAGATTGACCCACTGCAAAGGCTGCAGCAAACAGCTGGTGAAGTGAACTCATGTCTGTCCTGGTTGCTGCCTCTTTAACATGTAATTTATACAGGTCAAATTACGTGTGTACGTTTGTATTAAGGGTCAACATGTACGTAGATGTCTAAGAATTATAGAGTGACTTACTTCAATCAGAGTATTGGATGTCCTTCGCAAGACCTCTCTGGCTCTGGTATGCAATATAAGTTACTATTCTATGAAATCGTTTTAAGATTTGTCGTTTGTAAAAGCTGCTATTCTTTCTACATTTCATCACAGAGACAACGGCGAGTGGTGACATACGAACCAGGGATCTGTTCAAACTTCGGGGCAATGTCTGAAGCTAGGGGGACGTACCACGTCGCACCGTCTGGCTTACAGACGAACAAACAATTAGAGTACAGTTCTCAGCATATGAATGACCAAAATACATGTCTTTCACGGTCAAAGAAAGGTAGAAAAGGAAAGTTGAAACATGCCAACCAGTCTTTACAATCTGACCAAAAGCCAGACAGCTGTAAGAAGCGTCTCTGTAATCGTCCTCAAATCGATATACGGCGCATTGTACAAATCGGGCACAATAGAAACACAATTTCCTTTATTCAAAGGAAAGACTCCAATACTAGCGTTAGCAATACAACTATTGTACAACTCGGGGACAACAACATTGTATATATATACTTAGATGACAAACTCCCCACGAACATACTGCTAGGAGACACGGTCGTCGTGTACGTCCCCCCTGGGTGTGACGGCAGGCCCCGGGTGTTTGTCTGCGAACAGAGAGGACCTGACAACCAGATTGTCACCCACTGTCGCCACAAGTCGCCACGGATCTATGAACGACAGACATTTGACAACTTCCGGTCACGACACTGTCACGTGATCAGATCTGTCCTGCTGCCAACTGCTTCCGGCTCCAGTAAGAAAGGTAAGTGTTGCTGTGGACGGAGGGCACTTTGCGTCTGGCATTGTCAGTTATGTTACACTGTTAGTAAAGTAAAAAAATAAATTAACAAGGCTAACGGCCGAAGTACAGTGTAGATGCAAGTATCATATACGAAGTGGTGGCACAATAACACGAAATTGTGTAGTTAACATCCAATTAAAAATATAATAATAAAGAACGTAAGGCGATGACATCTTAGAACTATATCGCACATAACAGTACCGTATGTGTCTAGCATAAAACGTTTTGCATGGGTTCCCTGAGTCAAGAACATGACAATAATAAAGATATAGAAGTTTGTGGTAATGTTCTGAGAGAGTGTACATTTTGTTTTTAAAAAATGGTATTGGAAAAGTATTTGTGTGTTAAAACATCATACATAGGGCACACTGACATAAAATGTAACTCGTCTTTATAATGTATTTACTAAAAGGATAACATGTAATGTTTTAAACATCAAGGAATTGATGGGTAGATGATTGACCATTGATTTAATCCAGTTTCATCCCACTCACTCACTCACTCACTCAAGAAGAGTAAAATATATGAACAATTAACCAGCATAATGGACATTGAGTATTTTCAAATTGTTTATATACATGTTTCCATCTTGTCAGCTGCGGGCCGTCATAAACCGTTGACTCCCGGGGACTGCGATGTCGTGACCATCAAGCATGGTGGCTCTCATCGGACTCGCACAAGAAGAAGAGTGAAACCTCACAGCAGGAAGTACCCGCTTCTTCATCCCATCGGGGTCAAGGACACCAGAAAACTGTGAACCCTGTCTGCCTGAGAAGATACATCTCTTGAACGTTTTGGTTTCTCGTATCGATTTACAGATAACATGTTTGAGCGGCATTTTAGAAGTTGTGACGCACAATATAGAACAAGTTATTATGGATAACAACTTCTTTATTTCGTGAGTGCGACGTTTCGATACAGATTCTTGTACCGTTGTCAAGCAAGACAACGGTACAATAATCTGTATCGAAACGTCGCACTCACGAAATAAAGAAGTTGTTATCCATAAAAACATGTTCTATATTTATTTATAGAGAGATTCTCAGGCAGTTTTGAAAAGATTACGCCTATTCCTGTTAGGGATACCTTGTAAGCCATATTGGCTCAAGTCTAAGACATTTGTACATTCACTAGGCATAACTTACAATGCTAGTGTACATGTATATTGTACTGTCAGCTTGTATAACATATACACACGTATACTTATTATATACCATGTGCTCCTGTAAGCCATATTGGTTATATCAATGACAGCAGTACATTCACTATACACAAGTATATACCATGTGCTCCTGTAAGTCATATTGGTTCTATCAATGACAGCTGTAAGTTTATTATACATAACTTGCAATGTTAGCATATATATTGTACTATCAGCTTGTATAGCATATACACACGTATTTTTATTATATACCATGTGCTCCTGTAAGCCATATTGGTTGTATCAATGACAGCTGTTAGTTTAGTATACATAACTTGCAATGTTAGCATATATATTGTACTATCAGCTTGTATAGCATATACACACGTATTTTTATTATATACCATGTGCTCCTGTAAGCCATATTGGTTGTATCAATGTCAGCCGTACATTCACTGTACATAACTTGCAATGTTAGCATCTATATATTGTACTATCAGCTTGTATAACATATACACACGTATTTTTATTATATACCATGTGCTCCTGTAAGTCATATTGGTTGTATCAATGACAGCTGTAAGTTCTTATACATAACTTGCAATGTTAGCATATATATTGTAATGTCAACTTGTATAAAATATACACATGTGCATTTATTATATACCATGTGATCCTGTAAGCCATATTGGTTATAGCAATGACAGCTATAAGTTTATTATATATAACTTGCAATGGTAGTTTATGTTGCACTGCCAACTTCTATAACATATACACACGTAGTTTTATTATATACCATGTGCTCCTGTAAGCCATATTGGTTGTATCAATAACAGCTGTTCGTTTATTATACATAACTTGCAATGTTAGCATATATATTGTAATGTCAACTTGTATAGCATATACACATGTGCATTTATTATATACCATGTGATCATGTAAGCCAAATTGGCTATATCAATGACAGCTGTAGGTTTATTATATATAACTTGCAATGTTAGCATATAGTGTACTATCAGCTTGTATAACATATACACCTGTATTTTTATTATATACCATGTGCTCCTGTAAGCCATATTGGTTATGACAGCTGTAAGTTTATTATACATAACTTGCAATGTTAGTATATGTATTCTATTTCTAGAGGACATACATGAATATCTGGTATATGCTATGTACCCTTGTAGTCTTATTAATAGTCTTATATACAATCTTATGAAAGACATACAAATTTCTATGCTTAATATTACACCCTACCACTGCAGTGTGTCACATCGGTAAGGCACGAATCTGGATGTTAACGCGTATCACTGTAATGGATTTCTTAGTGTATAGCTGAGACACACAGAGATGTGGTTTGTTATCATTCTGGTTGCACCCATCCTTTTTATGTTGTTCTTTTTTATTATCTGAACACAGTTTCGAGTAATGTGCTTGTGTACATGAATAAAATGTCTAATGAATCTATATAATTGTTATTCTTGTATTTATAACTATCTGTATTGAGACACATAGGTTCAAGTCTTTTCGGGGTGATGGGATAGCCTAGTGGTTAAAGCGTTCGCTCATCACGCCGAAGACCCGGTTTCGATTCCCCACATGGGCACAATGTGTGAAACCCATTTCTGGTGTGCCCCCGTGATATTGCTGGAATATTGCTAAAACCCAACTCACTCACTCACTCACTCAAGTCCTTTCAAACAATACATCTAGAAATTGTACCTATATTGCAAACACACAGTAGATTTCAGTCGTATTTGTACACTTTGGATATATAACTAACAAAGCTGATAAAACCTTTGTATCTAATCGATATATCATTGGAGTAAAATCACACATGGTGCAAGTTAGTAAGTACTCATGGACCGATAAGAACGATTGTCTGAAGTATCCAAGATCACTCCATCATAGCTGTATTAGAGACTGAGATCCGGGTAACGATTTGGTTGGTTGGTTGGTTTGTTGTTTAACTCCCAACTCAGCAATATTCACAGTATGTGGAGGCTGTCTGTAAATAATCAACTCTGGACTAGGCAATCCAGTGATCAACATCATGAGCATCGATCTACGCAATTGGGATACGATGACATGTGTCAGCGAGTTTGCGAGTCTGACCCGCTCCCGATCCCGTTAGTCGCCTCTCACGACAAGCATGGGTTACTGCAGACCAATTCTCACCCGGATCTTCACGAGTTCGGGTAATGAATAATCCTCAAGAATGAACACGAAGGGAATATCGATAAACATCAGAGCATGTACTATATAAGAACCATTATTTGATGCCATCTGGAACAAAAATAATAATGGTATTTTTTCAATTAATCGCAAATTAATCATCCAACCTTAACTGTTAGAAACTGTTTTAACAAAGTCACGACCAACTGAAAACAACCAAGCAAACGTGTTGCGTGATTGAAAGCAGAAGAATGGCAAGCGAGCGTGGCGAGAACATTCCGTGTGTGTAAACTCTAGTAAGTGAACCTGTCGCATGGTACGTCATGTGACCGGTCCAAATCACACCGATCCTGCGTCACAACGTCATACTGCAGCAATCCTATCTCCATCGTGGCTACACAGCTGAATCATCGACTACAGCAGATTCTGGGATTGCCAAAGAGATCAAACCAGACATTGATGAACCACCTTGGAGAAGTTGGGGTCAGAGCCAGACCTGCTGTAACACGTGTACCAATGTTCACTGTACATCTTTACACTATAAGGCTCGTTTCAGTAGAACTTTGTCAACTGGCTGTTTTGAGAACGTAATGACGAGGATTGTGTTTCATTCAGCTTTATTCAGTTTGATCTTCAAAGGGTTTGTAATGGTAACTTTCTTTCACACGAAAGTCCTGTAAATAACAATGATGCATGTTATGTTCCATACATTTTAGGGCTCAACAAATATTTTAAAATATGAAAAGGTAAATTTCATACAATTATGTCTTGTAGTGCCTTGTGTTAGTTGTGTTTCATGGTTTGATATATTCAATAATATTTCAATTACCACCGAGGCTAATTTACAGCATCCTCGATAATGTCCAGGGTATACGTTCCGATAAATCTCCACTACTAGAACGCCTACCAAGGAGATTATCGAGGAGGAATGTATAGAAGTGTACCCTAACTGAACCCGCCACGAATCATAATCAGTTCCAATCTGGGACTCGAACCCATGACAAGTGGCCTAAGTTTAAGCCAATTTATTCGAGTTTGACTCAACAAGCCACCTATCCTCATCGCACTATTTAATCGGTGGTGTAACAATAATTGTTATTGTGTCAATGTGTTCTTTCTTCAAAGAGTCCATGGTGTCGGTCGGTTCCACCTGGCCTTTCTTAGCCTGACTGCAGCACACCACACTTCCAAATATAATCAGTCCAAGGAGCACCGTGCTCCCGAACCCGCCAACCGCCACCAGGAACCCGCTGCCTAGACCGTCAGCTGACTCCACCGGAGTTGCAGTTGTAGTCGTTGACGTAGTTGGGTCGGAGATGAAGACACTTGAAGCTGAGATTATGGTCCCGTCGGGTTTCATCCAGGTCACATTCGGAAACAGATCACCCTTAATTTGACATGAAATGTGTAGCAGATCTCCCTGTTTCGCGGTATAGAGATCCCCGCACTTTAGAATTTTGGGGGGAATACAAGTGAAGTCCTTATCTTCTGCATGGTAAATCGTATGGTATTTCAGTACACTTGGAGCAGCGCATGCCCGGAACATTGCCCGAGTACACGGAGTACATCACGCTCTAGTTGAGGTTCTTCAGCCACTGAATGTCGCATGTGCATCTCCAGGGGTTGTCTGAAAGATGGATGATCTGCAGCTTCTGGAAGATCAGCTCGAACGAATCTGGAATAGTTGCTAATTTATTGTCGGACAGGTCTAGAGTCTTAAGGCTTGTCAAATGTTGAAATAATTGCACAGATACCTTTTTCAAAATTGTTTCCATACAGATCAAGGTTTCTGAGATTTTGTCAACCCAGTGAACATGGCAATGGAAGAACGTCAAGGTTAGGGTCACCCAGAAATAGATCATGCAGGTTCTTCAAGGATGCAAATGCGTCATCGGCGATCTTACATCCCGTGTTTCCAGTCAGATCCACGAAGACAACATCATTTAAGCCATGGGAAGATGCCAGTGTTTATCTGGGAGATCTTATTATGTTTCAGGGCAATGCGTTTTAGTTTAGTCAGTCCTTGGAACAAGTCATAGTCCAACTTTGTCACCTCACTGTAAAGTAACGTAGAAATCTTCAAGATTCGAGAACAGCTGGCAAAGCTGGAGTGTTTCAATGTTGATACATGTCAGTGTTGAAAATGGGAGTCTTTGCTATTGTACTTGATTTTCGTGTCTCGAACCACCTGCATAAATAACGTTTACATGCACGGAAAGATTTGACAGCTGTCGATGTTTACCGAAAAGAGGCCAGACATTTATTCAAAGCAGAGGGTAGTGCTAATGCGAGGGTCCGGTGTTCCAAATATCAAAAGCGGGTGAACAAATTGAATACAATGAGCAAGAAAGGTAAGGAATAACCAACAAGCTCAAAACAATGTTTTGTGAAACCTTATAAAGTTTGATTGTAGCGCACGTTAAAATAGTCAGGCTGTCCGGTTTTCGATAAGGCTTTGAGGCATCGTGAGTGTCACCTACTGAGTATTGTGTGTAATGAGTGTAGCGGTAGAATTTTCTTAAAAATTCATTTCTTCTGAGATCTCGTTTCAAATTTGAAATACTAGGATTATATCATGACATAAAAGAACAATATGCGATTGCAGAGTCTAGAATTTTTTTTGTTGTGTCACTGAAGGTAGTTCAGAGCTCATATTGGTTTGTATAATGCATGCTATAATCAATATTTTTTAACAAAGCGCGTGTCGCGTTTATGTGTGAATTACCGCAGAATTTCAAAGGAAACTATTACAAGGATGATTATGTTTTAGATGTTTTTAAAAGGGCTAAGATACTGCGGGGATCAAGAACTCCAGAGTAATAATAAATGTGGCCGTGAAGGGTGTGGGTTAAGAAGAGTTCTTGGTTAATGGAATGGATGTGTTGAAACTGAAAGCCATTTTGCTGAAAGTATTTTTGATTGAGGTAGGTGCCTGTTTGAAACGATACAAGCACGTGTGTATCGCATGGTATATTATTATTATTATGCATAATATAGGATTCAAATAGAATTGAAAAACCAGACATCTGTACATTATTGTAATGAAATATCTTGAAATATGTACCAAGCTAGCTAAACCTAGCCCGAGGTGAGGTGAGTGAGTGAGGAGTGAAAGTGGAGTGGAGTGGATCCGGAGCGGAGGTGGAGAGGAGGCAGGAGCTGAGTGGGAAGGAGAGGAGGCAGGAGAGGAGAGGAGCAGAGTAGAGGTGCGGAGGGAGAGAGTAGAGAGGAGAGGAGAAGAGCCGAGGAGGGAGGGTAAAGAGGGAGAGGAGGAGTGGTGAGAGGGAGGGCGGAGAGGAGGCAGCTGAGG